TAACTCTATTATTTATCAATATAGTAGAAATACATACTTTTTCACTCTCAATAAAATATATTATCTACCAAATCTTAAATATTAAATATTATGCCTTCCGACCCAATCTTAATCAAGAACAAAGATAGCCTTTCCTAATAAATATAAAGAATTTAGAGATAATATCGAGATAAGTTTTTTCTAAAAAAAGATGTAAAATACATAATATAATTAATATAATGCTGAAAGATTCAGAAAAATAGGTTTTTAAAATTTAATATTATATATATATATCCATCAGAAAAATATAAAAAAATATTTTTTAATATAATATATTAGATTATATTCTAAATTTTAAATTAAAACTATTTTAAAATATAACTATATGTTTTATAGGAAAATGGCCTAATTAAATGTATCAAGAAATTTATCATCAGAAAAATCCGGATCTGTTGTCTTTGAAAAATCTCAAGTATAGAAAATCTCAATAATTTCATTCATGGTTCCAAAAAAAAAAAGAATAATGTCTGGCCATATCTATTTTCTATATTGTTATAAATCGAATAAAACATATAAAAAAGAATTTCAATGTTTATCGGAATTATTCAAGAAGAAAAATAATGAGGTCGGAATCCCATTCTCCTAATAAAATGAAAATAATTCAATATATCTTCTATAATGTGCACGCCCCCATACCATAACGCTCGCAAGCCCTAATTCAGAAGATTTTGAAGCCCGAAGCCCTAACCCTCTAAACGAGGTAACAACATGAAAACCCTCATAACCCTACCCTGGGCTGCCCTATCGTGTTCTACCTCCTTATCCGCTCATCAGTCAAAAAGGCCACTAAGCCATTTATTTCCTCCGGGCCTGGGTAGAGATCCAAACCCCTAAGTAATCTTTCGATATGAAAAGTTCGCATAATCAGAAATAGAAGAGGAATATCTGCATGTGTGTATATATGAATAATGCAGACAGTAATTGAAATCTATGATGTAAGTAGTCAATCAAAATATGGAGCTGGTCCTACAGTCTGTCTATGTGGTCCAGTATCGCAAGCTTTTCTGGCCACTCCTTCGTGGTCGTCGAAATGTCCACGTGATTGAAGTTATCGCCCAAACGCGCCATGAGGCCTTCGTTCTGGTTTCGTAGCATGTCGGGTGTGAGCTTGGTTCGGGCAAATCTTCATGCCAAGAAATCCAGCAGGTGGCAATTAGACATCGCGAGAGATGCAGACTCAAGACATAAGAACCAAGACATAAAATGTAAGTGCTGTGCTCCAACAAACTCCAGCGGTGTCTCGATTGACCGCAGCCCAAAATCCGCTAGCCCACACGTGCGAATCAGAAATCTGATTTATTATTTTGCGGGGAAAGGAGTTTATGAGGGTGCAGGGGTTATGGTTCGGGCGTTTACGGTGCATGCTGTTTCCACAAAAAGAAGTCTGATGTTAACGCTGCGACGACTATTGTGCTACAATAACAAACCCATGGTGACCGAACCTCGGTGCAGGGCTTAGCGTACTAGAATGACGCATAAGACGGAATCTAATCTGAAGAATGCCCAGGAGGTCTCATGCACCAGCAGCCAAACTGCCGCTTTTGCGGCGAGGTTGACGGAGTGCAGACCAAAACCTCTGTTCCGGGTGTTTGCCGAAGTCTCTTCTCAACTTTAGTCCCCACAGTATTGTAAACGGCAAAAGCCCATTTCCAAGTATTAATACCACTAGACTGAACCCGGGTAGAAGTCTCAAAGGACTCTGAGGAACCTTATTCCAATTCCCACGGCCACTATACCAGGCGTTCGGGCTGTTTTTGGCTAGTGTCTCAGGCTCCCGTAATCAATCCCCGGCCTGAATACGGCTTTAGCCATAGAGCTTCCGGGCTGTCAGTGTTTAGTGTTTAGGGTTGTTAATGAGGGCATGATCGCAGGTGTGCCCGGCACTTTGCGTGGATACTGTCTACTTGAGGTATACGGTAGAAGGTGTTGGCTCTGCTCCTTCGACAGTCTGCGTTTTGCACTCGTACCACCGCTGGCTTTCTCATCTAGCCCTAGCATTGCGGCACATCCTTTGAGTGGCAGGCTCTGCCTGTTGGCCAATCCCCGACTGAATTCTAAACCCTAAACCTTACACCCTGAGCTCTAAACACCTAAACTAGGCAATGCCACAACAAAGGCTATTCTCACGGCTTCAAAGTTGGTTACCGTCTTTACCTTGGTGAAGTCTGGCGGTCATGGAGAAACATGGTGAAAGGCGTGCCCAGGGTTAGGGAGCCCCGTGATGAAGCCCGACACAGTGGCCTTAATTACATGATGAGAGCTTGGAGGGAAAGGGATGAGTGTTCAACTTGAACTTTGGGGGCCTATGGGCTGCGTGGCTTTGAAGCTTTGGTTCAGGATTTTGGTACTCTGGTGCTTGAGGGTTTAGAACTTGCAGGGTCTGTCCGGGGTTTACGGCTGTGGGAGCTGAGCTCATAAGCAGGAGTAAGAAAACCCCATAGTCCTTATATCCGTTCAGCAAACCGTGAGTGTCGAGTGACGAGGTCGCGGAGCCGGTGCTCTGTAATCGAAGCTGCTCCTGGGAGTTTGTGCTCTGTAGTCGGAGCTGCTCCTGCATGAAGCAACAGCCACTACGGCAACAGCAGCGGCAACAAAAACAGCAGCAACAACAAAAGCAGCCGCTACTACCACTAGCTACGACGACGACTACTACGACGACGACGACTACCACCACGCAGTCATGAATCCAAACCACTTGCGCTTTTTTGGGTGCTCCTGCTCGACATCTTCATTGTTGCCAGGCGGGGTTGACTGGCTCGACTCCATCAAGTGGAACCCCTCTGGAAACTCTTGGTGCATGGACCTCGAGTAGCGGCATTTTACAGAGTTTTGGGCTTCGGCTAAAGACTTGAGGGCAGATTAGATCTTCAGGATGAAAACAAGATGCTGCTGGTGGAACAGTGCAGAGAAGCCCTCTCCCGCCGGTGGCAGTATCCAGTTCGAAAAACCAGATCTATATAGCACGAACTCAACATCTGAACCCTAAACTCATAAACCTAGACCCCAAGTTCAAGCGGAGCCGTGGCGCTCGATCCGTGACATGGCGTCCTCTGAGAACCAACATGCCATCGTACTCCTTGCCGCCTGCGAAACGAAGAAACAGGACTTGAGGATCGGGGCTTGAAAGCTTAGGGTAAATGCTCTAGCTGGCGCGAAGTCTACAACGATGCACATGCAGGACGAGGAGTAGCCGAAAAAGTCAAGCGTGAGGGAAGATGGCAGAGTGACACATGAGTTTCAGACAGTCACAAGGCTGAATCCTACTGTAGATGAGAAAGAACAGCGGGATCCGTCAACAAAAAGGTATACGAGTAGCAACTGACAAGAATCGACTCAAGTCCTTCGAAGCCCGGGCGTCCTCTGCGATACCGTCACGAGGACAAAAGCTCTAAATCTTACAGGCCTCGGTCTGCTCATCGCTGCTTGTCATGCTTACCCCAATCATCGTCAGCATCACCATCACAGTCATCATTGTCATCATGACGACATCCATACTCGCAGTCATCGCCGCCATTAGCCGGGCCAGCGGAACGGGTATGAGCATCACGGCCTCCCACCATCAACTACCGTCTCATCATGCGCAGCACTCTCAGCACCAACATGCAGCAAGCTCGTTTTGGCTACGAACTGCGAATGACGTTGACCGTCTCTGCCTCTCAGCCACGAGGCAAGCAAACGAGAATACATTGCGAGACAAAGCTTGATAGCGACAGAGTCAATGTTGGCAGCTATGGTTGTTGGAGTCATCATCACTGTTCCAACCTATGAATACGGTGGCGCTAGCAAAAGCTGCGGCGACAGTGATGGTGTGATAGCCATGGCAGTTTTCGTGATAGTGCAGCCTACCTAGTGTACAACCATGAGAACATCCCGGCTTCAGCCCTTATGTGGTATGTCGTGCCCCTTCATTGTTGAAAAGTGTGTGTGGTTTTCATGTCCAACAAAGCAGAGGCCTCTATAGTGTAGCCTGCCCCGGTTTCGGAGGCAAGAGTCATGGTGGTTTTTAGGTCTTGTCCTCGGTGCAAAAACGCCTTGGGTAGGGTGGGTAATGTAGGGGCCTTAGTAATTGGAATAGGACTTTGGGGTATGCTATATTTTGTTCTGGGGGGACTCTGTGGGAATGCTATAACTACAAATATTTTGCATTAAACCGACCCCTTAACTTGGGTTTGGGCCAAGACCTTGGCTCCCAATTCATGGCTCCCAAATCGTGTTCTTGAAACGTATACAAGCCCACCCACATTAAATCCCAAACCCCTGAATTTCAAAGCCCCGAACGAGCGGCCTGGAATTTCATAGAATGAAACACACCCTGAATCTGGTCATCAATTAAACCCAAAACCCTGCACCGCCACACCTGGCTGGCCACAAGTTCGGAATAAACCTCTCCAGAAGCAAAAGTTCTCCAAGGGCCCGGGTGAGGATCCTTTTGGGCTTCTTGTTTTAGGGTGTAGGGCTGAGGGTCGATGAAAAGGAAGGTTTGGGCTTTGTTCCTTTTCCAACAGCCCCT